CAACAAGTTTACCTGTCAGCCCATCAGGGGGGGGGAGGGGGGGGGCCTTGAACGGTAGAGTCCCTGGCCCCTTATTGCGCCGTTTTGAAAAGAGGCTATACGTATGCGGAAATCTCAGGAACAATTTTTATTGTTAACTGTGCCTTTAAACTAGATATTATCGTGCACTGTATGTTCAAAGTGCCTCAGAATCCATAACGAGTTCTATGGATCACTGGAAGAACTCGCTTGCGTATAATATCCGATCATCCAGCTGGATAGATGCTAGTAAACAAATTTTTTGAGGAAGTTGGGCTCTAATACGGCTGAAGAGGGGCAAGCTACTCTCTTGTTAGCAAAACAAACCAATATCCATTGATACCAATGGGTCCACAACAATCGTTGTCAATTTAGAAACGTTCCCACCCTAACTTCCCTAGTTCCTTAAGGGGTGACCACCCTGCGATTGAAAAGAATCAGATTAGGTCAATCTGTGACTGGAATATATGATTCCCAATCATTGACGTGACACTTCACACTCCTTGTCGCAATTACATGACTTTTGAGGACTGACAAACATAACGGTACACCGACAAACGCAAATACAAAGGTAATAGTATAATAATAACTGATAAGCGTGGGAATGGGACAGTTCGTCAGCTGCAATTATGGAGCAGAAGCCAATCTCACAACCCAATAACTCTCACATTTTAGTCTAACCAATAAGTCGCCTTATGTGTAGTATGAGCCAAGCAAAGANNGCTAGCAACAGTGTAGAACGTTGGAACGTTGGAGCGAGGCGTTAGAAACCTATTGGGTGATTTTGGATGAAATCGTTTCGAGATGTTGTATTGCAGTTGAAAGTCGCAGAGTAATAGGCACAACATTATCCTTTTTTCCTGTTCATAATGGCATTCGGTGACATTAAGGTCGAACCTTTGATCGTAAATCTTCTTTCGTTCCGTTGTTGTCTATCAGAATCGTGGCCAACTCCATCTTTTTACGAATCGAAAACTGACTGGTAATCCTCGACAACGCTTCCTCCTTTGTCAGATTGTCGCGCAGCATCAGTCGTTTGAGCTGGGTGTTGTCATCACTGAAATAAGCGGGTTCGAGAATCTGTACTGGATGACAATTTTTGTAGCTACCCCTTATCAACAGAAACGGTAGTTTAGAGAAGTATTTCGCCTCATAATGACCAATTAGCTGTCCCTGGATCAGATCCTCCGCAACATCCCAATAATGGATTAACCACGTCCTCTCCGGTTCATACGGGAGCAGCGACGCGCGCGGTCGCGTCGCCACTCGCTTTGAAAAGTGAAGATGGAGAGGACGTTTCGCGTCAGAAGAATTCCCATCGCAATCTTCATACAGATCAGACAGAAACAGACAGACCTACCACCAGACGACGATGACTGTCCAGAGGATTTTATGGTAGCTGGATTCGAAAAGAAGCGGTGTATCGAGCACAATATAATGGCTGCCAAAAAGCAGATACTTGAGCATCTGTACGAACATCTCCCAACGAATAGCCGGGTGCAAAATTGAATTCAGCTTTCGCCGTTTCTGAAAAAAAAAACCTAATACGTTCTCCTTCACAATTCACAAACACAAAAAGCAAGGAAGTTCCTGAGGGACGCGCGCGCGGCTGCAACGCGTCTTCGTGGGGTTGAAGCTCAGTTCTGTTTTCCCGTTGTATTTTAATTCAGAATGAAATTGTAAGATTGACTGATAGCAGGCCTTGTCAAGGACAGAAAACTGAACACTGGAAATAGTGGATGGGACGTAATCCACCACGGTGCATCCGCAATACATTACTTCTCAACGAAGTTCTAGGATTATACAAATTGGCATGAGGATCTATAAACTACCAAAATAAAAAGTGCATACACGTAAGTTTTCTAAGGAGTTAGAGTTATTCAACTTAAGGGGAAAGTTTTAATTATTGAAGCTTTTCTACCAATAAGAGGGTAAAATAATAGGGAGGGGGGGGGGGGACAGGGGGGTACAATTGCTCCGTTACGAACTAGAGTTAGCGAGCATTGAAGTAATTGCTAACAGCCTTGCTCCAATCACACACTCACATTATCTGTCATCTTTATGGTCAATAACTTTCATCCAACGAATTTCTGCTAATTCCCTTATGGGCCTCGGAATATCGGCGCTGTGGGCCTTGAAATATCGGCACTGTGCATGCTTCGCCCACTATATTCAGGAGCAGATCGAGCTTTGCAAGCAGTATGTTCCATTTCAAAACTAGTTGGTTCTAGATTAAAGTTTTAGTGAGCGTAAGTTTCCTTTTTTAGATTAAATGCTGAATCAGGTATTTCTTGAAACGTCGTGCTCTCTAGCCGTTCAAGCATCCATGATAGCATTAACACTTCAACATTGGAATATTGCTCACCTCTGTTCGAGGCTCTCAGCTTTGGATGAAATTCGTACCCGTTCCCTTGTATGGACGTCATTCCCTTACTCCTCTCTCTACCGAAATGTGTTCTCCCACCTGATTCCCAGTAGCATTTCGGCCGCAACCCATAAGGACGTAAAAGAAGGGGTTTAGGTGGTGAATAAGGGAAAAGAGCACGAAACCCAAGTATTACGAGGATGGTTCCAAACTCGCTCCGAGGCTGAGCGGTTTGTCAGTTACCCAGCAAACTTGTACTGACTTTAACGGCAAAATCGCGGCAAAAAAAAACAGCAAGAAAGGGAACTAAGAATACCTCGACATCGTTGAACACGACAGCAGCCATTTTTGGCCGATCAAGCATACCACTTGGAGCATCGAAGAATTCATCACCAAATTCAGATCTAAGTTTCAAATAAGCTGGTCGTCCAGGTTCGACAACTGTAATATGGAATACTCCTCAACGGGATAGCACACCATTATTTGGCTAGTCCCTATCAAAAGGAAAAGGAAAACCATCTTGACCGCACACTACTAAAGGTCTAGGTATGTACTGTGAAGTGAAAGGTGAAGGCTTATTGTTAAAAAAGAAACAAAAGAAAAGACCTGGAACCGAAATATGAGGGCCTCGATTTCGCAGATGATTTCATGATACGATAAAAAAGTGAGGAGTGTTTTGAGTGCACTTTTGCTTAACTATGTTACACCGATTTCAAAGGCACCTCAGGCCATTCCAATGGCTGGCTATCGCTGGTGTCCTCGTGACCTTATCAAATTTTATCGCTACCAATTGCATGCTTTTCTAGTTCTGTCGTTAAATCCTATTACAAACAGAAGTTACTTATTCAAAACACCACTGTAGGTTGCTATAGCCTATGTTTGAACCAAGGTAAGTCTGAAATGCTATTTCACTGAGCTCAATCATGAGTTTCTTTGTCATTGAGGCTATAACGAAGGCGAAAGGCAGAAACATTTGCCGAATGAGGCTGTACTACCTTAGCTTGCTTTATCGCGCCTCTTAGTACACTTCTGGCACTCGACCACATATGCCGACTTTTTTTATCACTTAGGCTCCTATTAGTAAGGTTGCCTGTAAAGCAAGGAGTAACTTTTCAATAGTTCCGCATTCCCTCACGGTTTACACATATTAACAGTCAGTACGCAATCGCAATAGGTCCCTCTCTGAAGTCACGTCGAGCCCTTGAACTGATTTATTTGGCTAGGCGGAAAGAGGGGAAACTTATTTGAATCTCAAGCGAAACATAGAATCCTACCCAGAAGTCAACAATGTTTCAATGTTCAGGTACCCAGTTTCGGTACTATACTTATGTTTCAGGTCAAAAAAGCCACCTTGAGGGCTCGACACCTGCTCACTAATTATGACAATATCGAGACAAGTAAGATGATACCTAGGGGAGCTTGTGATATTTTCCTACAATTAACGGTTATGTGAGCGGAGGTTGTGTAATGGCAAAGGCGCACTATCTCATACACATGGACACGGGTTCAAATCACGGATCGCTATCCCCCTAGACCAACCAAGCCTTCCATCCCTCAGGGGTCGGCTATTGGGACCAGACTTGTCTGAGAGGAGTAAAAGCACTGATACGTATATTGGCTGGCCACTGCAAGTCATTACAAGTCACATGTGCATTCAATCCGCCTCTGTATGGAGGTGGACTGCATGGGCCATCCTTCGGACAGGACCGATTAACGCCCAGAGACATTATTCTTTTAATTGTATGTGGTGGCTAACTGCTT